ATCGATATCGAAATATATGAAAATCTTTATCGTGATAAAATTTTTGCCCGTATCGTCCAGCCCTAAGCCTAGCTAATAAGGATCGCTATTGACCAGGCTATTAATTAGGGCTGGACCCGAATAGTTGATTTGTTGAAGATTCGATGGTTCGAGGGGCGGAGCCCGATTTGATTGTCAATCTCACAGTCGAAGCTTTTCAGCAAAACAAGGAGCACGCCATTTTGCTGATATAGGGGTGGTCAACATCTGATTTTACATAGAACTACTAGTTTTCTCCCAATAAGTTAATATACTGCCTATTATGATATAAATATCAACATACAGTGCTTTAAATAAACATGGAAAAAGAAAAAAGCTTTCAATAAATGTTTTTAAAGTGGGTGAATAAATCCAAAATTGTAACCCTAACCCTGGGGCGTCAGCGCGCACATGTAGGCGTAGCGTGTATTCGTGTTGTGGCAGAAAAGGAACACTTACTGTTGAGAGGGAGCCCCATCTTGACTGGTGTTGTGCCGAGTTGTCCGCACCTCGTAGGACTTTCGGATAATTTATCACTGTTGATGAACCACACAAAGAATATTTTATCGTTTTTAAACAGCCGGCTACTTGAAACAGACCCACAAGGAGCCGCAACGTGCATGCAGTTGTCGGCTGCACGGCATGCACGCAAAACTGCGCAAGAACGATGAATGGCCGGCGATCAGAGCAGAGACATTTGCTTGCAAGATGTTAGCTAGAAGAGAAGCTCCTATAACTTTGTAGCACAAAGATTAGTTTATTTCTTGCTGCTGTTGAGAGAGAGAGAGCTTCTCTGTCTTAGAGCCAACTTTTTTCACATTGAAGTTGAAGTTCCTTGTTGGTTTATTTCTTGTTGCTGCTGGTCTGTGTTTTCTGCAACTTCAGGCTGCACATTTTGACCCTCAAAGGCATCAAGAGGTTAAAGGGTGATAGCCTAGAAAGATTGCAGTTATGCAGGTGCACAAACACACACACACGTTTGGCCTCACCTGACCTGAAATCCCCAGCAGAATCATTAGCAGGAACATCTGAACTTGATTTAACTTGCTAACCAGCAGAGATACAGCTGCTCTGCGTGAGACCCACTTGTAACTGGGAGGCCACAGGTTCAAATCCCACAACAACCAGATGCTCTGCTAAAGTGTTCCTGGGCAGGACGCTGAAACTTGATCTGCTTAAATTCAAAAGTTTATATATTGTTTGTTAGGACTCTGCAGAGGCCTTTTATTTCATTTAATTGATTTTTTTATATTGAAAAATGTCAGAATATACTAAAATATGTCCGTCACAAGCTCCCAGAGCCAAAGGTGACATCTTTAAATAGCTTTTTTTTGGTCTTAGCAACAGTTAATATTGAATTTACGACCACGTGAGACAAAGTTAAGTAGATAATCTTCACATCTGAGAGGACTCGATGTTAATCAAACTTGATTGACATCTTTCCAAATTGGATCCCATTTATTTTCTTTTCAGTTTAACTAGTTAGCTAATCTTTTCAGCTTCATTGTTGGTATAAATGTGTCTGATTAAAATGACCTCCTTTGCCCTTGAGCAAGGCAGTCAGTGTGATGTTTTTCTTCCTCTTAGATGCCTTTCAGTTTGAATTCTCTGTAACAAACGCTGTCTAAATATAAGAAATGTAAGCATAAACGTTTATTCTTGACTGTTGAAACAGCAGCTTGACAACAGTATCAAATCAAGGTCTACTTACAAGCTTTTTGTGGAGCTCTCAGCTGTTTTCATCAGCAATCATGGAGACAGTTCAAGCTCAGCTATGATTATGATTATTAGTTATGAAAGTTAACATCTACCTACTGATGAAGACGGTGCGATACAGCTGAAATGTCCAGGAAGAAGCTACTAAGTGGGTTGGGATCGTTTTGTTAGACTATCAGTTAGCGCTTTCTGTTATATTTGTAATGTTTGTTTCAGGATATTTACTCTGAAAGAGAACTAAGATGAAGAAAACTTTCACACTGACTGTCATTTAGCAGACGAAAGCTGGTGGAAGAGGCTTGCTTTGGACTTTTACCTCGTCTGGGCTGTGACTAACGAGACGAAAACCACATTGTGTTAGATATTGGTTCAAAAACTTCTATTGTAAACGGTGGGAACAGAAATCAGTCACACAGTGATGTTGAAACTTGAATATCTTTTAAAGTGGAAAGCAGAAGTTAAGACGACAGACGTGTCTGAGCTGTGTGACACTGATAAGAATCAGAGCTTATTTCTATTCTGATATCCGTTGTCTGCTGACGTTCAGCACGTCTCTTGTTGTTCCCTGTGCTGATTTGGAAATAAATGGGAGTGAATGGGCCTGAGAGGTTTGGAAATCATGCCGCATGCAAGTAAAAATGTAAAAAATGCATAACGGACTGACTCAAAAAAAGCCCCTCTCTCTCTCTAGTGTTGATCAGATATCAGACTGTGTTTAACCGTACGAATGTGGAAATCACCTCAGAGCTCCTTCAACCTATTCTGGGTAAATACAAGTGTGTCTTTGAACTATTTTAGGGCCCTGGTTTAAAAAAACACTATAAATAAAGATTATTATTATTATTATTATATTTAGTGACCCAAAACGAGAGGCATCTCCAGGGCTGGTTTGAGGCGCTCCACACAGCTTCGCTCTGTACAGCGATGGGTCTGGTTTGAGTTACAGACGAGAAGCCGCCGGGTTTACCGCCGGCCTTCATCTGGCCCGACGCCGCTGACCTGCAGCCAAACAGCCTCAGCGATCTGGATTTATTTCTGTCTTTACACACGTTAAAACAACAAAACGTTCTCTCTTATCAAGCCAGGGTGAGAATCAGCGCTAGAACTAATAATATAAGACTTAGGCTGCAGCAGTGCAAGTTGTTTTTGCAGTTAGCGTATAAATGCACATTTAGTTCACCGCAAACAGGACACACTTTTGATGAAGCGTTCAAACGTTGTCACATACTGTTTGAACAATGAATGTGTGAATAACTTGTCAGCTTGGGCTGCAACAAACAATTAGCTTCATCTTATTATATAACAATTGGCATTTATTTTGTCTATAAAATGTTAGACAACAAATGCCCGTCTTCAAATTGCTTGTTTTATTTGACTAACAGTTCAAACCCCTAACATAATGACTTCACTATATACAGTACAACATAGACAAGCACAAAAACCTCACATTTTAGAGGATGGACCCAGCTAATGTGTTTGCAGAGCCAAATTAAGTTTCTTAAGTAGACAATCATGTAAAAAAAGAATCATTTATTTAGTTCAGTTTAGTTAAAAAAAGGCCTCTAAAACGACATTTGGTCCATCATGAGACACTTTAAACTCGCCGGACTGATGAAGCACTGGAACAACTGAAGATTTAACTTATGGCTAAATGAATAAATAATATAAAATTAAATGTTTTTCTGTCCTGCAGTACGAGTCAGTGGTTCATTCAGTTCATTCAAGTTAATTCAGACTATCTAAATTCAGTAGTATATTGCAGGTACAAGAATATCTGCTCCTTAACCTTTCAGTTTCATGTTTTGTGTAAATAAATGTGACCTCTTTCGAATCCCGTTAAAGGGAAACTCTTCATTTCCTCTCGCTCAGTATATTTGTAAACTGAGTGCACAAAGCACTTCAGCAGTTCATAAATCCTCAGATCCGTCGTGGACTGGATCATTTCTTGATGTGTTTTTACGGCTTGTTGACGAGAACAGAGATAAAAAACCAGACGGGTGATAAACAAGCCCTGGAACAGGTGACATCAGCCTGCTGACCCGGTTCCCATCGCAACGGCAGATAGAGCAGGTAGCTCGCTGCTGTGCCTCTGGAGAGTCGAGGTGGTCCGTTATTTTCCACTCGGTAAACATTTTAATCCCCAGCATTCAGCAGCGGCGAGGGAAACAACTCGGTCTGTGTGGACTGAATTGATTAATGTGATCACATGAAAAAAAAACAAGCTAAGACTCTTAAGATTAAGAGAATATAATTATTATAATGACATACTTAGTTTGAAAGAGTATCAAGGTGTCTGCCTCAACATAAACTCACTTTGTATACATCAATACTTTTGTACCATAGGATACTCAGACTTAGAACTGCATTAAAGCTGGGTCGAGTACTTGAACATAAAACCCTGATCACCTGGCAGTTTTATTTACCGTCTAATGCCAAATGTGGCAAAAATTAAAACAGTTTTTTATTTTTATTTCTAATACCTCTACTCAGTTTTTTTGCGCATATTGAAAAGTGCATTCAGATAGATGGATGAAAGCGTACTTAGTGATCAGAAACACAGGGTAATACCTTTATTCATTAATGATATACACCATTTTTGAGATGCAGAGCTCAGAAACTTAAACATAAAATTAATCGGCAACTAATTTTTCAAGCAAATATTCACCATTTCCTTCTCATATGTGAAAGATGACATTTTATAGACTTAACGAATGATCCATCCATCCATCCATCGTCAACTACTTATCCTGCGTACAGGGTCGCGGGGGGCTGGAGCCAATCCCAGCTGACGGTTAGGGAGTCCATCGCAGTAATGAATGATCACTAATTGAAATAATCGTTAGTCAGCACCAGTGTGTGCATAAAGAAGACAACATTATATTTTCCATTTGCGCCTCTCCTGTTGTGTGTGTGTGTGTGTATGTTGCAATCTTCAGTGTCACATCTGTGTGTTATCAGTGTTTCATCTCAATTTATCCCAGCTGCTGTTGCACTGATGCACACACACGTCAGTGTACTGAACACATTTAGCCTGAAGCTTGTTTGTAATACTCATCATGACCTTTCTGAATCCCAAACTCAAGCTGCGACTCGCAAGGGAAAAGGAAGTATTCAGAAAGTGGGTTGAGATTTGGAAAAAGTTTTCTATTGTCCATTAAAATCACCTCCTAATGTCCTATATTCCCTAAAATACTCTCCTTAGTCATGAAGGCATGGACCCTTTCTTGTTACTGGGTTTTAATGTTGTCTTTTTTCGGGATCCGCAGCCCCAAACCACCTCCTCCTGATGGCGTCAAGTCCAACCCATCCAAACGCCACCGCGACCGGCTCAACGGCGAGCTGGACAAGCTCACCAGCCTGCTGCCCTTCACGGAGGACGTCAGGGCTCGGCTGGACAAGCTGTCGGTGCTCCGCCTCAGCGTCGGGTACCTGAAAGTGAAGAGCTACTTCCACGGTGAGTGTCGAAACTGTGGCGATGCATTACAACTAATCAATGCCTTCATTCATGACCATCGTGAGCACACTCAACCCTTCTCTTCTTCTGCTTCTAAATGTTGATGTCTAAATGTGTAATTTTTTGGACAGAGAGCTCTGCCACTTCATAAAGTCGAAAGTCTTTTTAGGAGGGAGGCAGCAGGTCTGACTCTGACTGTGGTCAAACAATTTTTCCTCTTGTCGTCCAATCCTGTAAGATGGCCGTCGTGACTTAAGTGATTTGGGTGCTTGTGCACACATGAGGCCGTCATGTTAAACAGCCATAACAGAGGTGCATGTCTGAAAATGGTAAAATATTTATATATATATTTACGTTGATGTGGCAAACTTTTTAGCAAACAGTTGCTTTATTTACAAGTCCAGCTGTTATAGAGCAACATGAACCAGATTCAGATTTATTTCCAAGTACATTAAAGCCCCGTAAAGCCGAGGAGAGCTGCTGGTCCGTCACATTTTTTTTCACATTTAATGCATTGTTATTGTAAAAAAAGATATATTATAGCCGCTTTAATCCGTGTGGCATATCACAATGTCAGGACAACTGTATTTGTCTGAGTCAAAGTCTCAGTCAGCAGCAATATGGTATGAATGTTTGAGGAAAAAATCACCACACAAGAGAGTTGAAAGTTAGATTTTTAGTTATTAGTCATGTAGTTCTGTACAGTTTCCATTAGTAGTTCTTATGTATACTAGAAAACCAGTTTATGGAAACTAAACTACATTCAACCAATTAAAAACACTGCAGGTCTGTGAAAACTGTTTATTCTGAGCCTATTTTAACCCAGTTTAGTTCTACTGAGTGCCCTAAACAAGACGAAGAGACAAGGATACAAACATAACAGTGTCAAAACATCCTGCGCATGGTGGGCGTTTAGCTGAGAGATACTGCTCTAGCCTCAGTTTCACATTTGCCCGTTTGTGGCTGATACTGGAGGTAAATCGTTTGATGAAAACAGTTAAAGTGCAAATGTCTGACTTCAATCAAATTTTAAACATTCAAACTCATGCACACATTTTCATGAAGCGGCTTTCCAGTGTTTTGAGCAGAAAAAGCAACCAGAAGTTAGAAAGGACAGGTATCTGAGGTCAGATAAGACAGCACCAGAGGCAATACAAAAAACACAGTATTTTTCGGGAAATGGCTGAATAAGATAAATACAGTTTTTAATGTGGGAGGGTGTAAAATAAATACTTTCAAGTAACATTTGGGAACATTTGAATAACCAGAAAAAGCTTTGCATTCCCAGCCTACTGTAAATCTCTACAATTACTTAGAAGTACTAGAAAAAGAAATAATGATAGTTGTGGAAGGATTAGTTTTTTAAGAGCAAAAACTCTAACCTTTAAAAAAGACAAATCTCTCCACTGGGGGATCAGTACAGTATTTTAAAAAAGTGAATTCTGTCCTATTTCTGTCAGCATGGTGCAGGGAAACTTGCTCACTGAGGTTATCCCAGTTTCCAGAGAGCTTCCTCATATTGTTCTGCTGCCTCTTTTGAAAATAGCAGAGATTAGATCCAGACCGCCTGAAAAACAAGGTTCCTATTTACGGTAAAGGGAGGTGGGTGTGTGAGGCCACCCCCAGCTGAGAGGCTATATCAGTGCAGGACTGTGAAACTCAGCTCTTGGGGCTCACCATATCTTTGGAGACGACCCTTGAGGCATATTAGTGCACACCTGCTATGCACTGTGTGTTAAAATGCTAATGCACACATGAGTGTAATGTATACTGCACTGTGTGCTAAAATACTAATGCACACATGTATGTAATGTATACTGCACTGTGTGCTAAAATACTAATGCACACATGTATGTAATGTATACTGCACTGTGTGCTAAAATACTAATGCACACATGTATGTAATGTATACTGCACTGTGTGCTAAAATGCTAATGCACACATGAGTGTAATGTATACTGCACTGTGTGCTAAAATACTAATGCACACATGTATGTAATGTATACTGCACTGTGTGCTAAAATACTAATGCACACATGTATATAATGTATACTGCACTGTGTGCTAAAATGCTAATGCACACATGAGTGTAATGTATACTGCACTGTGTGCTACAATGCTAATGCACACATGAGTGTAATGTATACTGCACTGTGTGCTACAATGCTAATGCACACATGAGTGTAATGTATACTGCACTGTTTGCTAAAATGCTAATGCACACATGAGTGTAATGTATACTGCACTGTGTGCTACAATGCTAATGCACACATGAGTATAATGTATACTGCACTGTGTGTTAAAATGCTAATGCACACATGAGTGTAATGTATACTGCACTGTGTGCTAAAATACTAATGCACACATGAGTGTAATGTATACTGCACTGTGTGCTAAAATGCTAATGCACACATGAGTGTAATGTATACTGCACTGCGTGCTAAAATGCTAATGCACACATGTGTGTAATGTATACTGCTCTGTGTGCTAAAATGCTAATGCACACATGTATGTAATGTATACTGCACTGTGTGCTAAAATACTAATGCACACATGTATGTAATGTATACTGCACTGTGTGCTAAAATGCTAATGCACACATGTATGTAATGTATACTGCACTGTGTGCTAAAATACTAATGCACACATGTATGTAATGTATACTGCACTGTGTGCTAAAATGCTAATGCACACGAGTGTAATGTATACTGCACTGCGTGCTAAAATACTAATGCACACATGAGTGTAATGTATACTGCACTGCGTGCTAAAATGCTAATGCACACATGAGTGTAATGTATACTCCACTGCGTGCTAAAATGCTAATGCACACATGTATGTAATGTATACTGCACTGTGTGCTAAAATACTAATGCACACATGAGTGTAATGTATACTGCACTGTGTGCTAAAATACTAATGCACACATGAGTGTAATGTATACTGCACTGTGTGCTAAAATGCTAATGCACACATGTATGTAATGTATACTGCACTGCGTGCTAAAATACTAATGCACACATGAGTGTAATGTATACTGCACTGCGTGCTAAAATACTAATGCACACATGAGTGTAATGTATACTGCACTGTGTGCTAAAATGCTAATGCACACATGTGTGTAATGTATACTGCACTGTGTGCTAAAATGCTAATGCACACGAGTGTAATGTATACTGCTCTGTGTGCTAAAATGCTAATGCACACGAGTGTAATGTATACTGCACTGTGTGCTAAAATGCTAATGCACACGAGTGTAATGTATACTGCTCTGTGTGCTAAAATGCTAATGCACACGAGTGTAATGTATACTGCACTGTGTGCTAAAATGCTAATGCACACGAGTGTAATGTATACTGCACTGTGTGCTAAAATACTAATGCACACATGAGTGTAATGTATACTGCACTGTATGCTAAAATGCTAATGCACACATGTATGTAATGTATACTGCACTGTGTGCTAAAATACTAATGCACACATGTGTGTAATGTATACTGCACTGTGTGCTAAAATGCTAATGCACACATGAGTGTAATGTATACTGCACTGTGTGCTAAAATGCTAATGCACACGAGTGTAATGTATACTGCACTGTGTGCTAAAATACTAATGCACACATGAGTGTAATGTATACTGCACTGTGTGCTAAAATGCTAATGCACACATGTATGTAATGTATACTGCACTGTGTGCTAAAATGCTAATGCACACATGTGTGTAATGTATACTGCACTGTGTGCTTAAATGCTAATGCACACATGTATGTAATGTATACTGTACTGTGTGCTAAAATGCTAATGCACACATGTGTGTAATGTATACTGTACTGTGCTAAAATGCTAATGCACACATGAGTGTAATGTATACTGCACTGTGCTAAAATGCTAATGCACACATGAGTGTAATGTATACTGCACTGTGTGCTAAAATACTAATGCACATATGTATATAATGTATACTGCTCTGTATGCTAAAATGCTAATGCACACATGTATGTAATGTATACTGCACTGTGTGCTAAAATGCTAATGCACACATGAGTGTAATGTATACTGCACTGTGTGCTAAATGCTAATGCACTGAAATGTATACTGCTCTGTGTGCTAAAATGCTAATGCACACATGATGTAATGTATACTGCTAAAATGCTAATGCACACATGTGTAATGTATACTGCACTGTGTGCTAAAATACTAATGCACACATATGTAATGTATACTGCTAAAATGCTAATGCACACATGTAGTAATGTATACTGCTCTGTGTGCTAAAATGCTAATGCACACATGTATGTAATGTATACTGCACTGTGTGCTAAAATGCTAATGCACACATGTATGTAATGTATACTGCACTGTGTGTTAAAATGCTAATGCACACATGAGTGTAATGTATACTGCACTGTGTGCTAAAATGCTAATGCACACATGTATGTAATGTATACTGCACTGTGTGCTAAAATGCTAATGCACACATGTATGTAATGTATACTGCACTGTGTGCTAAAATGCTAATGCACACATGTATGTAATGTATACTACACTGTGTGCTAAAATGCTAATGCACACATGTATGTAATGTATACTGCACTGTGTGTTAAAATGCTAATGCACACATGAGTGTAATGTATACTGCTCTGTGTGCTAAAATGCTAATGCACACATGAGTGTAATGTATACTGCTCTGTGTGCTAAAATGCTAATGCACACATGAGTGTAATGTATACTGCACTGTGTGCTAAAATGCTAATGCACACATGAGTGTAATGTATACTGCACTGTGTGCTAAAATACTAATGCACACATGAGTGTAATGTATACTGCACTGTGTGTTAAAATGCTAATGCACACATGAGTGTAATGTATACTGCACTGTGTGCTAAAATACTAATGCACACATGAGTGTAATGTATACTGCTCTGTGTGTTAAAATGCTAATGCACACATGAGTGTAATGTATACTGCTCTGTGTGCTAAAATACTAATGCACACATGAGT